CATCGATGTTAGATCACCTGTTCCCTTGTCCCTGGGTTTGTTAACACCAATTTCCTTTTCCTCGCCTCCCCATCTCCTATGTTCCCCTGGAACCTTTGGTCCCGTTGTTTTCTTCTGGATTGCTTATCCCTCCTATCTTATCTAGATAGACATGCAGAGATAATAATATGCACAAAAATAAGACAGAGCGAGTTGTATGAGTCCCCAATAAGATGATTAAAAAAAAAGACTAGAGAAAAACAGCAACAAAAGAAAAGAAAGCAACAACAACAAAAATACACATATGAGTTTCTGTGGATTTGTTTCTCTCGTCTACCCAGACTAACACAAAAGGACTACCTCCTGGTTCAACTGTAGGTAATGCATGATCAGAATGAAATATTATGGAGTCCCATACTTCTCAACATAGTTTGTTATGATCCACAGAGTTGAACACCTTTGCATAGTCAACAAAACACAGTAAACATCTTTCTGGTATTCTCTGCTTTTAACCAAGGCCTATCTGGTGTCAATTTTTACTTTCCAGTTGCTAATAACTATTAATTCATCCTGATTTAATTTTGAGCAATTTCAGAAAGAATTTGGTAAAATTCTTCAGTTTCTTCATCACTAGCTTTGTACACTGGTACAGATAATAACTGGAAACACAGGGAATCCAGGACTGATAAACCCCTTAGGACCAATAATGAGAGTAGCCCCATCAGGAGGGTAAAGATAAGGTGGGTAGAAAGGGGGAACTGATCACAAGGATCTACATATAATCCCCTCCCTGGGGGACGGAAAACAGAAAAGTGGGTGAAGGGAGACGTCGGACAGTGTGAGACATGACAAAATAATAATAATTTATAAATTATCAAGGGTTCATGGGGGAGGGGGGAAATGAGCCGATACCAAGGGCTCAAGTAGAAAGCAAATGTTTTGAGAATGATGATGGCAACATGTACAAATGTGCTTGACACAATGGATGGATGTATGGATTGTGATAAGAGTTGTAGGAGCCCCCAATAAAATGATTTTAAAAAGAAAAAAAATGTTGATGGCAACATATATACAAGTGTGGGTAATACAATTGAATAATGGATTGTTATCAGATTTATAAGAGCCCCCCCAGTAAAATGATTAATAAAAATAAAATTAAAAATCTGAATAATAGTTATATTACCAGGACTTCCCTGAATGGGTGTAGATATTATCCTATCACAGACAGCACTGGACTTTTTCAGGGTAAATGTGACCTCATTCCTCTTGAATTTGTCATTCCCAGCCAGGTAAATCAGATGATTGTCTGATGTTAATGGCCAGAACCAGTTCATATCACATCGTGAATGCATAGGATATCAATTTTTATTCATTTCATTTCTGACAACTCACATGAGGAGGCAGCTCTTCCTCAATCTTGCACTATATCTGACATTCTTGTACTGCTATTGATCACGTTTTGGATGGCTAATCTCTCAGGGGTGGGCAGCCTGTTCCTTCTTTGTAGTTTGTTGTCAGTCTGAAAGCTCCACTGAAACTTATTCACCTTTGGGTGAGGCTACTGGGATGGGAAATACCAGTGGCATTGCTTCCAGCAATACAACAACACAGAAACCACCACAGTAGGATAAACTAACAGCTAAGTGGTGGCAGTATTGTGACAAATACTATGAACTTACTGTGGATGCTGGCAGCATGGTTCTTTGGACTTTCTACAGCAGTATTTGAGGACCTGTTATATGAAGTGAGACAGGTGTCCTGCTGGCTTAGTGTGCTGGGTGTTGGCTGCTGACTGGAAGGGCCACAGTTTGAATCCACCAGGCCCTTCGAGAGAAAATGGCTGAGCCTTTCAGCTCCTGTAAAGATTTATAGCCAAGGGTCACTATGGGCTGGAATGGACTCGATGGCCGTGGGCTTATTTATTTTTGGTGGTTTCATAGGCTGGACATTGATAAACACTGACCTATGAAGGGTAAAGGCAGATTAGGCCCCTGACCTCTTGGTATTTGCATCACAGTGGGGGAAACACACTGTCAAGAAGAAAACAAAGTAATTGTGGAGTGTCATTCATGCTTTGAAATCATTGAAATCAGTACCAGGGTGGAGACAGCATTTCAATAGACAGAATGCTCATGCAGGATCTTTCTGATGAACCATACGCTGTACAAAAGTTTGGGAAGTGCTTAACATGCTAAATTTGGGTTTATCAGGAAATTGAGGAAAGAAAGAACCAGGAGGCAAAGGACATTTATAGAGGTCTAAATACAGTCATGTACATATGTAAATATATATATAACGAGAGGGGAATAGAATGATGTACTCATATCCATATGTTAAGAATGAAGGTTGCAGATGGACATTGGGCCTTGACTCAAGTACTCTCTCAACACAAGAACACTTTGTTCTAACAATCCAGCATTCTGTGATGCTCACCTTCCCGACATGATCGTTGAAGACAAAATGGGTGCATAAGCAAATGTGGTGAAGAAAGCAGATGGTGCCTGGCTATCAAGAGATAGAATCATCTGGGGCCTTAAAGGCTTGAAGATAAACAAGCGGCCATCTACCTGAGAAGCAACAAAGCCCACATGGAAGAAGCACACCAGCCTGTATGATCATGAGGTATCGATGGGATCAGGTATCTAAGACCCAGAACAAAATCATACCCAATGTGAATGGGGGTGGGGGGTATGGAGTGGAGACCCAATGCCCATCTGTAGACAACTGGACATCACCTCACAGAAGGGTCACAGAGAAGAGATGAGCCAGTCAGGGTGCAGTATAGAATAATGAAACACACAACTTTCCTCTACTTCTTTGGTGCTTCCTTCCCCGACCATCATGACCTCAATTCTGCCTTACAAATCATATTAGACCAGAACACACAGTGCTACAGATATGAGCTCGAAATACAGAGAATCCAGATACATAAACCCCTCAGGGCCAACAATAAGAGCAGAGATACCAGTAGGATTAGGGGGAGAAAGGGGAAATTGATCACAAGGAGCAAACTATAACCCCCTCCCAGGGGGACGAATAATGGAAAAGTGTGTGAGGGGCGACAGAGGATGATGCAAGATATGAAAATAATTATAACTTATCAAGGTTTCATGAGGGAGGGTAGGTGGGGGAGGGGGGAAGAAATGGGGAGCTGATATCAGGGCCTCAAGTGGGAAGAGAATGCTTTGAAGATGATGATGGCAGCATATGTACAAATGTGCTTGACACACTAAATGAATGGTATGGATTGTGATAAAAGATGTCCGAGCCCTCAGTAAAAGAAAAAAAAAAGGGATTTATCAATGGCACATGCAAAGATCCTGAAAAATGAAATGAAAGTATGCTAGGAATAGTGGGGATTGTCAGTGGCCAGAATAAGGGGCAGAGTGACCCACAGTGAGATTACAGAAGAGGAAGTTGTACAGGCCCGGCTAGAACGCTTTGTCTCATAGTCACGGCAGGGGGTGTGGATTTTATTCATAGTCATGTCGGGGAATCTGGAAAATGTCTTTCTTAGTCTTCTGAGTTTTTACCGGGGTTAGGAGGTGACACAGTCTGTTTGCACCTGTAAAAGAATCGTCTGTGGCTGCTGTATCACTGAATTCTAACTGAGAAGCCACACAAGGAGAACACAAGCAGAATTCCACGTGGAAATATTGCCGGCACTACCATTGTCGAAGAGCAACTGCCTTTACAGTGAATGTTTGAGGAACCAGAAGATTGAAGGGTAGTCCACTGTTTCTACGTGAACGGTAGTGCATTTCCGGAGAGTCTTCACAAGTGCTGGATATCCAGGAGACGAGAGAGAGATGTCAGGTAGACAGTTCCATACAGATGTCTGGGCCTCAAAAGGCAGCTGTAGACTAGAGATTTAAATTTGAAGGATGTCAGCAAGGAAATCAGGTTTAAAGATATAGGCAAAGATTAGCCCATTTGAGGTGTGGTGCTAATTAGAAAAGCACTCTTGGACTGAGTTCTTGGGAACCCCAATATTTAAAGGAGGAAGATCTAACATACAAGCATGTAGTGACTGAGTGTCAGAGGAGAGTCGGGAGGCTCTGGAAGCAACAAGAAAAAGAAAAGCTTGCCTCTGGAGAGAGGAGAACTACTCAGATGTTATTTATATACATCAGTTGATGCTAGAGAGTGAAGGGCAGACAGACAACTGGGAGTGAGAACCCAGAGTCCTGATGTAAGGACAATCATTGTGAGAACTGTGACTATAAAGGGAGACAGAGACATGGGGGACACGGGGTTATCAGGAAACCACCGGGCAGACTCTGCTGAGAACGATGAGGCTTCTACCCTCAAGATGAGTTACAGTCTAGAAACCGCAGGCGCTCTGCTCTTCCCCACAGGGCTGCTAGGAGCCACACTCAATGCAACAGCAGTGAGAGACACAAAGCAGAGATCAGACAACTAGTCAACTAAGGAAAAAAGGGGAGAATCTCCTGATAGTCAGTCTTCTCATTGAAAACCAAAGGCCTCTGTTAGCTATGAACTGTTGAGTTTTGGAAGGACGATATATGCGTTTCAGGAGTCTGCAAAGGTGTGCTTCCCAAGGACGTGGGGAAGCCTCTTCTCTTCTATGTTGTGCCATCATCTTGGTCTCCCAGAACTAACATGAGATTATGGTTGATTACACATTGGATGTATATTCCAATTATTATTTGGATGCATAATCCAATTATTAATTGGATGATGACTGCCATTTAAACATTTTATTAAAAATAATCCCCAATTTACAAAACATGCACAATTCAATCACCCATAGACCCTTTCCTCAGTCAATGATGCTGTCATTTCATCCCCATGTGCATCATCATTTGTGAGTCTGCGGTCTGTTGTGCTTTCTCCCTCTGTCCTCCATCCCCACCCCCACCACCAGCCCAACTATTGGAAGGTAAATTTCATAATGATGGTTACGTTTTAAAATAGCTGCAAAAAGTAACAAGAAAGAGAGTCCAGTTTTTGTTTTGAGCCCACATATAAAGCAGCTCATAGATTGTGACTGCACTTACCATCTTCAGGAGCATTCTTATATTCCTTGTCTTCCATCACGTCATAGTCAAAGCCAAGCAGGTCAATGGGGATGGTGTATTTCCTGGCATAATTCTGCTGGGCACCAGTCAGAAAGGCTTGCGTGAAGAAGAAGCCAGAGAGCCAGAAGACCGGAGGAGGCCCAACCTCATACCATTGCTATTTTCAAAACACAAGTGTTTTAAATCTGATTAAAGATGGTTCCTTTAAGATCATTAGGTACACCTTTAAGATCATTAGGTACATCATTAGGTACACCTAATAAATGAGCGAACATTCTGAGGAGCAAGGAGCCAGCCGCTCAAGGGTTTGAAAAGCAGGACCAGATCCGGGGCTTGTTTTGGCCTTGATGCCGTATCCACGGCACCAGGCTGGGACTCACTCTGCGCATGACTGCAGGTACAGACGTGTCTTTTAACCAAAGTTCCAGACTTTGCTGAGCATGTAATGCTGATTGCTGGACCACGTATCATGTTACATGGCGGAGTAAAGAAGAGATCTCCATAGCGTCTAGGGTTTCTCATTGTTCCCTCTCTCTAATTTGTCATAAATACCGAGTACACTCTTTCTTTGGAAGATTTTTTCTGCCAACTCCAGTAGCACACCGCAAAGCTCAACATCCCGGAAGGGCAACATTTCGCAGGGACTCTCCGAAGCGGCAGGACAGTGGGAGCCTAAGGTGCGTCTTCAGAAATGAGTCTTGTCCACGTAATAGACTCTACCCGCGAGTCCGCTGGCTACTGATAAGAATGAGTACATTATAGAAGCCAGTTCTCAGGATATAAACGTGAGAAGAGTTTCTTACAACTCCACGCCTTTCGCATAGATCACCGAGCCTACAGCTCCCCCGCGCTGGATCGCAGCTCAACAGAAGCGCGACTGCAACACGGGACCTGCCTTAGGACGTGGAGGTCATAGTTCAGCCCCATGTAAATGTAGCCATGGGGAGTTTTTGAGGTACCATGTATAGTGTCTAGGAAACGAAGAGAGACTTCTAGTGGATATACTTGGTAGGAATAACATGGCTAAGCACCAGGATTACCCAATAATTAGGAGGATGATTAACCACTGAGGTTATTACTGTCTTCAACTGCACCAGCAATTGAGTGATTTCATGACCTAGAAGACTGTTGGGCAAGGAAGGAATCATGTTCCTGACCAGCAGCTTGCCTGACTTCCTAACACATGCTGCTCTGGGAATCTAATTTAACGCTAAATACAAGAGTAAGTCCAAAAGTAGTACTCAAAATTCCAGAGAAGCCCTTATTGAACAACAATGACAACATGTGAATCTTTTGTCTCATGACCTGAGCTGCCCCAGCAGTCGCTCTGAGGGAGAGAGATGAGGCCTTCCACTTCGGTAAAGGTTTCAGTCTCAGACCCCCAGAGGGGCAGGTCTGCTCTGTCCATAGGCTGCTAGGAGTTGGAAGACTGGATGGCAGTGAGGGAGGACTACACACATCTGAAGGTGTTTCAGTCTTTCTAATCCTTCCTTGAAGAATTTTGTGTTACTCGATTTACACCAGATAAAAACGGAAGCGTTGGCATTCCTTTTCAATGTTCTTTAAATTTGGGGAACAAAATAGAGGGGCAATATCGGGTAAGATTTCCCCATGTAGTTCTCCTAGGACAGCCTTTCCGATCCTCAAAAAATGATCAAGTGCATTGCCGTGATAGGAAAAAACAATTCCTCAGAACAATTTCTTTGCCTTTTTCTTACCAGCGCAGTTTCCAGTTTTTTAAAAACATCTTTCTAACAAGCTCCCATGATCGTCTTCTCTCCTTCAAGAAAATCTACCTAATTTCCCCTTTGGTTCTAAGCCGAAAGAAAGCCCTGCTTTTAACTGACCTAGCAGATTCCCCCCAGGAAGTTATTTTTTGGCTTGGACTTTACTTTCTAGATCAAGACTCACCCAGAAGTACAATTCATTTTATAAAATAATCTTCATGTGCTCCCATTTTGCTTTAAGAGCTAACAGAAAGATCAGCTTTGGAGCCACCTGGTTTTCACATAAGGCTTTGGGCATCCATCGAGCTTAAAGCTTGCTGAAACCAAGATGATTACTTAAAATTGACAAGGCTGACAAGCACACTATCAAACACAACTCAAGCCAGCCAAAGACAAACTAGATGACTCGGACCTCCTAAAAACTAGACACTATGCACATAAAAAATTCATCAAAAGAATAAAAAGAGAACTCATAGACTGGGAGAATTTGCGGGGGGCAACTTTTTATGCAATGTGTATACATGGTCATCTGTGTTTGGGATGCATAGAAAAGACTGGAGTAACACTAAAGCAATACATCATAACTTGATGAACTCACCTGCAAGAATTTTAATCTTGCCAGGAAATCATTGACATAGCTGCCAAGTGGTTTAAGGCTTGGGTAGGATTTACCCATCCACATTCCTGGAATTTTGACATTGAGGATGCTGCTAACCACCTCTTCAAGCTCCGTAGACATCACCACAAGACCCTGAAATACATTTAACCGTTGGTCACCTTGAAAGCACAGGTGGTGGACACACCTCTCAGCGCCTTCACAATTACCCTGGGTTGGGAGTTCTGATTACTTCAAGTTCAATCACATAGTCAATAAACCCCACAAGTCAGTCAGGAAGACTTTTAATTTTTCCCAGAAAAACATTAAGAGTTTTAATCTGACAAAAATTTAATGGAAAATCTCCTTAAGACTAAACCAAGTAGTGAGTAGCTAACTACTCACTAGCTATTAAGTCAAAAAGAGTCCTGGTAGAGTAGTGAATGATGTGTTAGGCTCCGCACACGGAGGTCAGCAGTGTGAAGTCATTGGTCAATCGGAGGGAGAAAGAAGAGGCTTTCTACTCTAGTAAAGATTTAGTCTCAGAACCCTATAGGGGCGGTCCTACACTGTTCTACAGGTCACGCTGAGAGGTAATTATTAAATAATACCCGAACTTTGACTTTGTTTACTCGGCTATTAAATGAGCAAATAATTTAGCTCTTCTGCCTTCTTAAAAGGGTGGTCTGGTTTCAAAATTAGAAAAAAAATAAAATGAAATGCTTTGAAAAAATAAAACACCCTACCTAGATGAATTGAAAAATCCAGTTAATCTTATCCCAAAATACTCACCCTTGTTTTGGATATCCCTCAAACAAATACTGAGTCCTGTGTGGTTTTACCAAGTGTTTGTTTGGTAGTGGGTAGAAAGGATAAAGAAAACCCTATCCTTGCTCTGAACCAGAAAGGCTCATTCTTTAGAGCCATCATTTTAAAAGATGACAAAATTAATTGACAATGAATCCGGCTAGACCAGCGCATGTATGTACACTGGTACAGATAAGAGCTCTCAACACACAGAATCCAGGACAGATAACCCCCTCAGGAACAATAATGGGAGTAGTGATACCATGAGGGTAGGGGTAGGTGGAAGAGAAGGGGGAGAGAGGGGGAACCAATCACCATGATTGACGTATAACTCCTCCCCCACCAAGGGGGATGAACAACAGAAACGTGGGTGAAGGGAGACAGCAAACGGTGTAAGATATGAAAATAATAATAATTTATAATTTATCAAGGGGTCATGAGGGTGAGAGGGTGGGGGAGGGAGAGAAAAATGAGGGCTGATACCAAGGGCTCAAGTAGAAAGAAAGTGTCTGGAGAATGATGATGGCAACACATGTACCAATATGCTTGATACAAATGATGTATGGAATGATATAAGAGCTGTGAGTCCCCAATAAAATGCTTTTAAAAATAAATAAATATAGGCAAAGGTGAGGTTTGGGCATAGCTTAAAGTGCCCATCCAGAAAGAAATGGCACAAAAAAAAGATTTATGAAAAAAAATTTGACAAGGTTTCTAAGTCAGCTAGATAAAAAATGTCGCTCATCTATGCCACATTGATTCATATGATATAAAAATGTGGTATACTTTATAAATTTACAGTTCAATATATGTAAAGGGTCTAGGCCAAAACAAACATTCGAAACTGGTATTTATTATTGAGGGAAGGCAGAGCCTGGACTTATTTTTGTTCATAAATATACCAATATTGAAGGGAAAATATCTGTTAAACTATATCAGAAATGAACTAGTATATAAAGAAGCAAGGTGGGTCTGTCAGCAGAAGGTACCTACAGAGAAGCAAAGAATCCATAGTGTTGTTAGTAAATGGATAACTTGATACCACTTCTAAGTCATTTTTTGCCAAGTACCTGTTTCAAATGGATCACCACACCTGTGAATTCTCCTGCACCTCTTCCTCAACATTCTCTTGTATTTATAATATTGGCAGTATGTTTGTCAAAGTAGGAAGTATCAATTGTGACTGAAGACTGGAAAAAATGTCAAAATACCAGTCCTTGTTCAAGTCAAGATAAACCCAACAAACGGAACGTTACTAATTTGGCATTGTGTGCGGCACTGTGGGTTCGCCGTGAGCACAGGCCCATCACATTAGGACTCTCACAGACAATGCCTACAGTTACACCTGAAAGTCTTCTAGGTAGCTGGCTCTATGAATGGCAAATGACAGTTTATCTTTGGCTCTATACTTCCCTTTCATTTGTTTTTACTGTCTTACGGGTGACTAGCATTTGTGAAAATTCCTACAGACTGCATAAAGGCATCTTTGTATTCTTTCTTTTTTTTTCTTTGTATTATTTCTGATGTTAACGAAAAGGACATTTTTGGTGTGGTTTTTAATAAAATTTCCATCCTCAACACGGTAATTAGTTAGTGTTCTTTAGGTTACTATAATTTTAAAAAAATTGCAGGATATTCTAATCTACTCTTTTGGATGTCTACTAAAGTGACTATGTAATATTTTTTTTTGCATTTTGTTTTTTTAAGTAATTTTATTAGGGGCTCATACAACTCTTATCACAATCCATATATACATCAATTGTGTCAAACACTTGTACATTTGTTGCCCTCATCATTCTCAAAACATTTGCTTTCTACTTGAGCCCTCGGTATCAGCTCCTCAGTTTTTCCCTTCTCTCCCTACCCTCATGAACTCTTGATAATTTATAAATTATTATTATTTTGTCATACCTTGCACTATCCGATGTCTCCCTTCACCCACTTTGCTACTGTCTGTACCCCAGGGAGAAGGTTATATATAGATCCTTGTAATCGGTTCCCCCTTTCTACCCCACCTTCCCTCCACCCTCCCGGTATCGCCACTCTCACCACTGGTCCTGAAGGGATCATCTGTCCTGGATTCCCTGTGTTTCCAGTTCCTATCTGTACCAGTGTACTGTGACATGTAATCTTATCTTGCAATTTTTAGTATGCATGTTTGGATAAATAAAATACATCATTTTGTTCCTTGACCAACCTAGCATTAGGGGTCAACCTCTTTGGCCATGATATGCTACTCATTCCATTCTATCAAATACCATTATTCCAAAGTCACACATTACATTCATAAGCGAGACTGGTTGGTTCGTTTTCATGCCTGGATTATATTAATAGCATTTTTCTAAGTAAATCTGACTTTTTTCAATCCTTCAAAAATATGGAACAAGTATCTTATGTCTGGCATCTTCTTTGCAAATAGTCCTTCCATGATGTCTAAGTTCGTTGGAAAATATTTTACAATTCTTTTATAGATTTAAAATGAATCAACATAAACCTGCTCATGGTATTCTTGATTGGTTACCTTATATTTCTCTAAATCTGCTTACAATGATGTTTATGTATGTGCTTTTTCAGATTAGAAGTTTGTCACTTTATAACAGCATCTTTATAGTATTAATTGCATTTAATATTTTTTTCTAGCCACTAATTTTTATCAGTCTTTAAGATGTACTTTTCTTTGTACTAAATTTACATGATATTTTTTGTCTTGTTTCTTGAGGTGTATAATTTACTCATTTTCACATTTTCTTAGGTATAACTTTATCTGCAGCCCATAATTTGCATATAAAATGTCACAATTTTATTATTTAACACTTTGAAAACTGAAAATGAAATTCTTTTTAATTTTAAAAGTAATCCAGAGCATTTCATTAAAAAAATTTTGTGGAAATTTTCATTTGTTGAAATGAAATGATATATTCATTAACTGATTTTGAAAACCCTCTCCCTCGTATATAAGCTCCCTTAGGGCAGAGATCCTGTCTTCTTTCTCCCCAACACTTTGTGTCTCCCCAGCACACACTATCCCCAAACCATTAGTGTTTAACAGGGGCTTCAACATGTAGAAAATTCCGTGAACTTTGAGTGCCATTTTTCCATGAACTTTTTGAAGCCTGTTGTATTACTAATTCAATCTCTTGTGTCTTTTGTATGGTTTTCTAATTGTCAGTTCTAGAATTCTACTATCTCAATTGTAGTTCTATCCCAGAACCAAGAACAGAGTCTGCACCCAGTAAATATATGGAAAATGCATGAATAAGGTGCTAAATACAAAGATTCCTCTTTGGTAGGTTGCATCTGACCTTGATCGCCTTTTGAATGTTGATGCAAGACTCCCGTATGGTCTTCAGCAGCTTGTTGAACCGTCCCATCTCTTGGACAAGGACAGTGTTCATGCTCTGAGTGTAGGTTGTCGGGTATCTCCTCATGGCAGCCTCAACGTCAAAGTTGTTTGGAAGTTTACCCAAGATGTCTCCAGCCACCTCATCCACTACTTCATCTGATGATTTTGCACCAGCTCCTGCTGAACGAGACTAAAAAAAAAAAAACATTCTAATTCAGAAATCTAAATGTAAAAATGGTTTGAATGGAAAAATTCCTGATGTAAAATCTTTATACGACTGCACATTACTCTGCTGTTTTATCCATGGCTCTCCTCCACACAAGATTTATGAAAGTGATGCCAACCGGTGTGGGTGGAAGGGCTGGACTGTAAACCTTAGAGGAACAAGAAAGGCATAAGTGGTTTTCAGAGGCCACAGGAGGGTCTTAAGGAAGCCAGTAAGCTGCATTTTCGCTGCTCGAGCAGAGAAGTGGGAGCAGGGGCTCCAGCAGAGGAAGGAAAAGCACCGGCGTTGGTGACGCGGCCAAAGGATGATGGCACAAATACCCCCAAGGAAGAAATACAATTTTCCTTTGAGAAAACTTGCCACAAAATATATTTGCTAATAATTCTGATGCCTACTGGCTGCCAAAAGATATCATTTTCTCCTTGAACCAGAAGGGCAAAGAAAATAGAACGCATCTCCTCTAAGCAGTAGGAAGAGTTACAGAGAAAAGCCAGACTAGTGATTCATGCTGGAAGCAAGGGAGGGAATTACATTTCTATTTCAGGTTTATGTGTTTATAGTGGCACCGTGTAAATGAATCTGTATTTTCTGCAGAGGACTTTAAATCTGCAAAACACATGAAGGAATGAATGCATGCATTTTGTGTGGATGGGGAAGGGCACCTTAAGGAGAGTATGTGTGCATGTTTATTTTTCTAGTGCTAGGTAATTGTGCTTCTTCCAGATTTTATGTTTCTTGGCTTATTTCTAAACTAGATTGTATAAATATTGATGGCTCCCTAAGTTTATACTGTGATTTTTAATACTACCAACTACAAACCAGCCTGTTCACACATAATAACTTTATTGGTAAGTTTCAAATTTATACAGGAAAGAGAAGGCATGCCACTGTGATAATCCTTTATTACGACCCCAAAGCACTCTATTTACAACTAGTATATCCAATAAATCACAGTGAAGCAAAAAGATGATGAATATTTAGGGAAAATACTAGTAAAATGTCAATTTCTATTGCATTTGAGGAATCATATGCTGATCTATGTCCAGTTGTATTTTAAGATGTACGCTAAGCACTTTAAAGACACCAGACACATTCTTATTTTCCTTTGCTAACAAAGAAACCTTTCCTTCAGCATTTTCACAAATCTCGTATTGCACTGCCCAATAGGGAGGGAACCAGGGGTTGACTTGAGCTAACTCATCATTCCCTTGGTCTACCTGCCTTATTGGGTAATCTGCCCCGACATAAATAGCATTTGACATCTCCAAAGATTTATTTTCCTTTCATAGAATGAAGATAAGTGAATTTATTTTCAAGGAAACATCATTGAAGATAATCTTTCAGAGCTCTTAAATCGCTTCTAGTTTGATAACATTTAAAATTGAGACTATTTTCTTATTCAAAATAGTCTGGTGGGTAAGTTTAAGCTCTCTCTGCAAAAGTAACATGCATTCTTGGGTTCCATCTTTCTCTCTCTTATTTTTTCTAAGATATATTTGTTAATACATGAAGTGCAAGTCGTGCCATCATTAACTTGCTCTCTGAGCTCTGCAGTCTAGTCTCTTGGTTTCTGAATTGAAGCAAACCCAATCTAGGATTGCCCTACTGCCTACCCATTACTGTAATTGCACTTGCCAACGTGAGTTGGAGGACATTGAAGGAGGTTGTTTAATTGCACACTGAGAAGAGACCCCTTGTGTATTTAAACTTATTTAGTTGGTTCTGAGTCATTTTCTGTTGGAATGAACCCACTGTTTTATGCGTTCTGTAATGTGGCACACCCCATCAAGTTTAAATAAAGCCAAAGTTACGACGACGCCCCTATTTCCAGACTCTCTTGTATTACATGCATCTAATTTTCCTAAAGATCAATTTATTCCAATCTGGATTTGTGTTTTTATGCCCTGAAATAATGGGGTTTAGTTCTATGGATGTACATAAAAATAGTCCCTGTCCTTTTGTCCTATTTAAAAGTGCCATCTGGGAGCAGAGCAGAGCTAGGATTTCCATGGATTCTTCAGACAATGAGAATCCAAGACATTATCCTGCTAGTTTGGTTCGTTTAGCTTTTTAGCATCTCCAGCTATCTGCCTTCTAGGCCTTATTTTTAGATCTAGAGGAATGAGATAGCTAATTAGTTAAGTAGCCAAATTCTGGAGCCAAATGTGAAGAAGCCATCTGCTTGGCTTTGAGTTCTTATTTCCAATTGAACTGGGGGCAAGGTCACTTAATATGTCTGTGCCTCCGCTTCTTCACCATAAACTGAGGATAAAAGTGACCTGGATCTCATAGGACTCGGGCCCCCACTTCGGAGGAAAGTCAGTGAGCACCTTATGCATTACTTTGAAACACTGTCAGATAGTGAAAGCCTAAGGAATGCAGGCAGAGGACTGTCAGGAACAGAGACTGAGCAGGGCCCCAGGCTCAGAGGGCACTCCATGTCACAGAGGAGGAGTTAATTTCTCAGAGGGGTGTTGACCATGGGGATGTGAGTCAAGTAAAATCTGTGGGAGTGGAGCCTTTCAGATCTTTATCTGCTGATGGGACATTACTCGAGGTAAGGACAAAACAGCTGCAAAAATGTGCTAATGATTAGAACGTAGAATGTGCAAATTATGAATCTAGGAAAATTAGAAGTGGTCTAAAATGAAATGAAACACATAAAAATTGATATGCTAGGCATTAGTAAGCTGAAATGCACTGGTATTGGCCATTTTGAATCAGAAAATACTATGATTTACTATGCCGGGAATAACACAATCAAGAAGAATGATGTGCATTCATTGTCAAAAAGGACATTGCAAATCCAATCATGAAGTGCAATGCTGCCTGTGATAGGATTATCTATCCATCTTCGAGAAACCAATCAATACAACTGTTTTTCAAATTTATGCACCAACCACAAAGGCTAGTAATGAAGAACTTCACTCGGAAATGGATCAAACATGCACTCAAGGTGCATTGATAATTATTGGCTATTGGAATGCAAAAGTTGGCAAAAAGAACAGTAGTTGGAAATTATGACCGAGGTGGTAATAGAAATGAAACTAGAGATCACATGATAGAATTTTGCAAAACCAACAACTTGTTCATAGCAAATAGCTTTTCTGAACAACACAAAAATGACTGTGCACATGGACTTCTCCAGATGGAATACACAAATCCAACCGATGACATCTGTGGGAAGAAACGATGGAGAAACTCCTTATTAGCAGCTAAAATCAGGCCAGAGGCTTACTGTGAAACAGACCATCAAATGCTCATATGCACATTCAGGATAAAGCTGAAGAAAATTAAAACAGATACACGAGAGCCAAAATGTAACCTTGAGTCTATTCCATCTGAAGTTTGAGAACATCTCAAGAACAGATTTGCTGCATTGAAAATTCATGACAGAAGACCTGATGGGCTACAGGAGGGCAATAAGAACATCATACATGAACACAGCAAAAGGTCATTAAAAAGACAGCAATGGAAGACAAGATCAAAGTGGATGCCAGGAAAAACTCTGACACTTGCTCCTAATCATAGAGTAGGTAGCTCAGGTAAATGGAAAAAATGATGAACTCAAGGGGCTGAATAGAAAATTTCAAAGGGCAGTTTGAGAAGACAAAGGCAAATATTATAATGAAAAGTGCAAAGACCTAGGAATTAACAAATCAAAGAAAAGAACACAATCAACATATCTAAAACTGAAAGAACTCAAGAAAAAAAATCTGAAGCCTTGAGTTGCAATATTGAAAGACATAAGAAGATTGAAAAAATAAAGTCCTTGTTAGTGACTGATGGGGAGAGTGCGGAGTGGAGACCCAAAGCCCATTTGTAGACCACTGGAGATCCCCTTGCAGAGGGGTCTCGGGGAGGAGACGAGCCAGTCAGTGTGCGATGTAGCAACGATGAAAAATACAGCTTTCCTCTAGTTCCTAAATGCTTCCTCCCCCACCCCCACCCCCCACTATCATGATCCGAATTCTATCTTGCAAGTCTGGCTAGACCAGAGAATGTACACTGGTACAGATAGGAACTGGAAATACAGGGAATCCAGGGTGGATGATCCCTCCAGGACCAGTGGTGTGAGTGGCGATACTGGGAGGGTAGAGGGAGAGTGGGTTGGAAAGAGAGAACTGATTACAAGGAACTATATGTGACCCCCTGCCTGGGGGACGGACAACAGAAAAGTGGGTGAAGGGAGACATTGGACAGGGCAAGACATGATAAAATAATAATTTATAAATTATCAAGGGCACATGAGGGAGGGGGGAGCGAGGAGGGAGGGGAAAAATGAGGACCTAATACCGGGGGCTTAAGTGGAGAGGAACTGTTTTGAGAATGATGAGGGCAATGAATGTACAAATGTGCTTTACACAATTGATGTATGTATGGATTGCAATAAGAGTTGTATGAGCCCCTAATAAAACGATTTAAAAAATAAAATAAAAATCAAGTCCTTGTACCAGAAAGAAGTGGCTGAGATTCACTATTTCAAGAAATAGTATATAAACAAGAACCAATGATGCAGCAGCAAGAAGTTCAAGCTGCACTGAAGGCATTAGCCAAAAACTAGGCTCCAGGAATTGATGGGGTATCAATTCAACTGTTTCAACGAGTTGATACAGCACTGGAAGCACTCATTCGTCTATGCCAGGATATTAGGAAACCACCTACTTGGCCAACTGACTGGAAGAGGTCCATTTTTGTACTCATTCCAAAGAAAGGTGGCTCAACAGAATGAGAAAGTTCTAGAACAATATCTTGATATTATATGTCAGTAAAGTGTTGAAGATCATCTAACGATGGTTGCAGCAATACAAAGACAGGGAGCTGCCAGAGGTTCAGATCGGATTCAGAAGAGGAGGTAAAACAATGGATAGCATGGCTGATGTCAGATGGATCTTGGCTTAAAACAGAGAATAGCAGAAAGATGTTTGTGTTTTATTGATTATACCAAGGCATTTGATGGTATCATAACAATCTGTGGATAACTTCAAGAAGAATGGGAATTCTAGAACACTTCTGTGGGCTCTTGTGGAACTTGGGCACGAATTAAGAGGCAGTTGTGCGAATGGAACAAGGGAATACTGCATGGTTTAAAATCAGCGTTGTATCCTCTCAACATACTTAGTCAATCTATATGTCGAGCAAGTCATTGGAGAATCTGGCTTATATGAAGATGAACATGCCATCAGGATTGCTAAAATGTTTATTAACAACATGTGATATGCAGGTGCCACACGAGTGCTTGAAGCACTTGCTGATAAATATCAAGAATGCAGCCTTTTGTAGATTATGACTCAGTGTAAAGAAAACAAAAATTCTCCCAACTGGACTAGTAGGTAACGTCACGCTAAATGGAGAAAAGATTCATTGTTCAGGATTTCATCTTGCTTGGATCCACAATCAATGCCCTTGGAAAAAGCAGTCAATAGATCAGATGATACATCTTATTAGATAAACATGCTGCATGAGACCTCTTTATAGTGTTGAAATGCAAGGGGGTTATTCTGAGAAGTAAAGTGCCCCTGACCCAATGTGTGGTCTTTTCAGTTTCACATATGCCTGTGAACGTTGGGCACTGATTAAGGAAGACTGAAGGAAGACCGATGTGTTTGGATTACAGTGCTGGCAAAGAACAGTGAAAGCACCCTAGACTGTTAAAGGAAAAGACCAGTCTGTCTTAGAAAAAGCATGGCTCCTTAGAGGCAAGGATGGGGAAATGTTGCCTTATAAGATGTGGGCGTGTTGTCAGTGGAGACCAGTCTCTGCAGAAGGACATCCTGCTTGGAAAAGCAGAAAGGCAGAGAAACAGAGGAAGACCCTCTAGTGGATGGGCAGCAACGGCCTCAGCATAGGAGCAATTGCGAGGGTGACACAGGATTGGGCAGGATTTTGTTCTGTTGCGCATGAGGTAGTTACGGTTGGAACCAACCTGATGGCACCTAACTAACTACACAGGACCGTTGTAAGCACCCCATTTTTGATATCCATAAAGCACTCAGAAAAGTGCAAGCAGACGTAAGCTTTAGGGCTCACTATGGTCACTCAGCGAGTCCATAAAAATAAGAACGATCAGTTAGCATGCAGTCAGGGGAATCAAGGCTGGATGGGAGATTCGTCCAATTTCATTAAATAACCATGGGGACTTTCGCCATTTGAACAGATTTGCTTCCACGTATTGAAAACAAAATGTGAGCACATCTTCTAAAGGGAGAAACACAAGGGAGCTCTTAGTAGACATACTAGGTTAACCAATATTTTCCATTCAAATGGGCTCACTTGGGTCCATGGCAGGCTGACATCCGGTATTTCTGAAGAGGAGTCCAGGAGATGGCCACAGGCTCCACACACTCAACCACACTTTCATTGGACAGAATGTGAGCTCACAAAATATGAGCGCGAAAGAGACGATCTTTTGCAAACTAAGTGCTCTGGAATCTCTGGTAAAGATGAGCCACTTTAATAACTCATGTTCCCTTAGGCAGGCAGCAACCAGCCAACTGTAAGGGACTGGGAAACTGGAAAGTGTAAAATCCAAGAATGATTTTGCCATCAAACCACTCCCCAAGCATCTTGGAAACATCCACTCCAAAGAGACGCGAGGGACACACATAATGGGCAGCATATAGAGGCTTCGGTTCCTCAAAAGACAAGATCGAATGGCTAGCAACAGACTGACACTCAAAAGTCAGAGATCTTGATTTCAAATCAAAAGGTTGAGGAAAAAACAATTATCCACACAGTCTTATTCTTTATGTTAAAATCCGTATTTCAGCTATGTGTGTTTTCTCTGTAAAATGATTCTCTGAGTTGACAGGATTGGGTAAGGGGACTGCTGCTTGCTGCACATGCTGCTTGGAGAACGTCTCTCCGAGATGACACACCTGTGTGAGAAGAATGTTATCAAATAGCAACTGCGTCTCTGACTGATCCTTGGTGATATCGGCATTGGCATTCATCCCGAAGATTTCCGGCGCTGGGGTCAGCGGCAGAGTCCTAGTATACTCGATGTAGCTTTTGTGCTGCAAAGATGAATAACAGCAAGTCAAGAGGTTAGAAAGCAATTGCTCCGTAGAACCCTCTCACTGAAAAGAGGTAATTTTCAATCCTCGAGGTGACGAGTGGATGAGCCTGTGAGATTGGACACTGAGAGCTTGCATTTTTCTTACCCTTGCCAAAGTTTAAACACACACAAAGAGAAGGGGGTAGGGTGGAGGGAGGGAGGGAGACTGTACCTTCAATTGGAATAATTTTAAAATGGGGAAGCGAGAACACCTAACTTTATTTAGAGGTTTCTTCCAGAGAAATCTTCCTATGTAGCATTTTTCTAATGACTATTTTAATAGAGCTTCGCAAGGAAAACAAACTATTCTGGCCACAAGGTTTATTGTTATTGTGAAAAATCCATCCAGCTTAGAAAAGTAAAAGTTATCGGATTTTACGATCTTGATAGCCACTATTCACATTTGTATCTTTTATGCAAATGCATATACATGCATTTTATTTATTTGCACAAAGTTCTATCAAAATCCCATATCTTTCTTGATGTTCATGGAATCACACACAAACATTCACATATGTATGTGGCAGGGGGATTTGGTTATTGATGGCTTTATGATATGGGACACATAACACACATTTGTCTTCATCTCAGGGGGCCCTGGATGCATAGTTAAGCTGAGATCTGCCAGGTCAGCAGTTCGAGCCCACCAGCGGCTCCGTGGAAGAAAGATGGGGCTTTCTGCTCCTGTAAAGAGTTACAGTCTCGGAAACCCACAGGGACAGTTCTACTCTCTCTGACACGGTCACTGTGAGTCCATGTTGATTTGCTCTACTCAATCAGTGACTTGGGCTAAAGGACTTCATTTTCCCTTTTTCCCTGTGATAGGTACATAATCTGTTGTCAATTTGAGATTTAAGAGCGAAGGGATGGAGTTTAGCCGGTCTATCAGGTTGCAGCTTGATGACCTCATCTGGAGGTGCCAAGGAGATAAATTTCTCTCTGGAAGTGGGACACATGCTCACTCCCTGCGAGGACATTACTGATGACAAGCCACATGGAGCTACACTAGAGCCCTGGAGCTGAAGGAGCCACATGGAAAACCCTGCCAACGATGAGATGCTTCCACTGCCACTAGATCCACAAGACTTTCCACCCACTGGCCTGTGATCTTCTTGCACCCGGCATCATTGCATGTGTTTCATGAGTCTGAAGAGGACTTTATAGACTGGTATCCGACGTATGGGCTAATATTGGACTTAGGGGCTTGATCTGGACTGGGCTGGGATGTTCTCTCAATATTCAATTGCTTTTGTATATAAAGCTCTTTCTTACACACATGACAGTGTATGAATTTGTTTCTCTAGTCTACGCAGACTAACACAATCCCTATCAATATCTGTCTTCAGCCAACATTCATATCAATGAGGTGGGGCTAGGTTTGGGGGCTCTGTTATTTATCTGTGTTCAATGTGGCTGTGTGTTTTTCTTCAATCCGTGCCCTTTTGTTTCTGGAAGTAAAACAAGAGCTACTATGAATGCCCTGGTGCTTCCGAGAAACCAGTAATGTGATCACCTGGAGGCAGACACCCCTCCCACCCCCACCTTACCCTTCCACAGGATGGGTCTGAAAGAATGAGCCACAGGTGGTTCTATGAACTCTCCACCACTTTCTTTCTGTGGGTCTTAGAGAAGTTATTTCACCTTAGCAAACCTGCTTTCTCCTTTGTAAAAGGGATAAACCATAATAGCATTGTTAAATTGCTGTACTGACATAATGATGAGTAACTGCTTTGTAAATAAGGGATCATGGTATAGGTGTTAACTATTAATATTTGTCACCACGCTTGTGTGTTTTTATTTTAAATGGAGACAAGGCCTGGTTACCCAACTGACTGAATTTCTGATGATGGAATTCAGATTGTTTTGGAAGCTGTTCTTGGGTGAGGGGTGTTTCTGATTAACCTCCCATTATACAGTGGACAGGAAACCACGGACTCCATCCAGGCACGGGTTTTGCTGCTTTTGTACAACTAGAGGAAGCAAAGACATTCCGGGGTTGTTAACAACGAAAACACCAAGGCTTTGGGGAAAAATCTCTTCAAAATGATCAAAGAGAAGCTGATACCAAGGGCTCAAATAGAATATAAATGTTTAGAAAATAATGATGGCACCATATGTACAAATATGCTTGATACAATTGATGTATGGATTGTTATAAGAGCAGTAAGAGCCCCCAATAAAGTGATCTTTTAATTAAAAAAATAAAAACAGCTCACTCACAGGAATTTCATATTCAGTTTTCTAAAGGGCCTACTTACATCACCAGAAGGAGGGACAAAATAGATGCCGCTTGAATCAAATTTATAGTCTGAATTTTCAACTAATTCTGGGTTGAAGAATTTGTTGAGGATGTTTCGCAGCGTGCGCCGGTCCCAGTCGTCTGTCACCCGGCCTCCGTAATTGCACTCACCCGTCATGTATCGCAGCGCATCGTACGGCAGTTCCTGAAAGAGAACTCAAGTCACGCAACCAGAGAAGCATCATTGGAGCATATTATACAGAGCCGGGTTCCTTATTTACTCATATGATTAAATTAAATACCTTACAGATATTTTGCATCAACACAATTTCCTTTATGTACTTCCCTGTGAAAGGACACAATTTTTCCAACGCTCGTTCTCTCCCCTTGAGGGTTTTCCATTTCCATTTGAGCAATGCTGAGAGGAGAGCTCCTCCCTTGTGAACTCATTCATCATTTAAGGACCATGTATTGAGCGCCTGCTGTGGGGCGGGCACAAATGGGTTAGGCCAGGTCTCATCCTTGCGAATCTTGTACTGTTGAGTGACCCTCAAACATAGCTACTTGTGAGAGTCAATTTATATGGCCCTTCTAGCCATAATTCCTTGTGTGAAATTCTTAAGTTTGGTCTCCATGCTTGTGGCTATAAGCCCATTTTGAAGGGCATTCTCTTTTACAAGGGAGCCCTGGTGGCATGGTGGTAACACATAGGGCTACTAACAGCAAAATTAGCAGATCAAACCCATCAGCGAAAGAGGGGTCATTCTACTCCCGGAGCGAGAGTCTCAGCAACTGGCAGCTCTATCCTGTTCTGCAGGGTCAATATGCATCAGCATGTACTTGGTGGGAGCGAGGGCTTTTTGTTTGATTTTGGGGGGGTGGTCTCTGTTACAGGATTAAAGGTGGAATGTATCCTCAGATTCTACTAGAGGATGTAACTTAAGTCACTATCCTTAGGCCCTGGGGGTATGCGCTGCTAAGAGACAATAACCACATCTCCAGCAAAGGCATTTCTCTGTCATGTCTAAGAGCCATCTTGGACTGAGGAAGAGCCCGGGGCCTTCAGAAGAGCACTTTCTAGACCTCTCCATCTAGATCTAGACCCTCTGAAGTAGGGGAGGCTGAGGCAGGGCCATCAGAGACGGTGGCACACAGACGATGGTACACAACTGGAAGAGCAGCGCCGAGATCCCAGGGCTGTGAGGCAGAGGGACAGGCAGACTTCCTGGTCCACAGAAACAGAGGCCAGGGGACCACGGAGCTGGGAGGCGAAGGCCCAGAGAGGCTCTGTTCCTGGCGGAGGAGCGGTTGTTGCTGTGGGTCAGTGACTGTCTCCTGACTGTCACAGGTACTCGTGTGTGGTAACCCATGAACTTTCCTCATCGCCATCTCTCACTTTACCTGCCATCCCATTGATGCCGACTCATAGCCTACTATAGTACAGAGAACTGCCCTCATGGGTGTAGGAAGCCTTGTCGTCCTCCCAGCCCCATCATGGCTGGTGGTTTTGATTGGCAGTCTAACGTGAAACTGTTACATCACCAGGCTCCTAACTTCCCTAAGAAGCTCTTGGCAGTTCATGGTACTTTCAATATTCTCCGCCAGCACCAATTCAAATGAGCAGATCTTCCTTATTCAATCTCAAAGTAACATCCTAGCTCTTCAATGCTCTAACGAGTCTTGTGCAGCAGATTAATCAAACGCAATATGTTTTTTGATCTCTTGATCGCTGCTTCCATGAGCATTCGTTGTGGATCCAAGCAAGACAAAATCCTTGACCACTTCAACCGTTTCCCCCTTTATCATGATGTAGTCTATTGGTCCATTTGTGACGATGTTGGATTAAATTGTAATCCATACCAAAGGTTGCACTCCTTGAACTTCATCAGCAAGTGCTCCAAATCCTTCTCACTCAGCAAGCAAAGTTTTATCATCTGCGTGTTGCATACCATTAAGAAGCCTTCTTCCAATCCTGATGTCAAATTCATCTTCATATAATCTCCCTCCTCTGATGAGTTTCTCAGCATGGAGACTGAGTAAGTGTGGTGAGAGGAAACAGCCCTGCTTTTAAATCCTGTGGTGTTCTCTCTGTAGGAGTGTCAAGAATGTGAATCTGCATGGAGTGGCTCAAAACAACCAACCCCCCTGCCATCGGGGCATTTCTGACGCACAGCCACCCCGGAAGACATGCCCTGTGTGTTTCCAAGACTGTCACTCTTGAAGGGAGTAGAGAGCCCGTCTTTCTCCCAAGGAGTGCTGCTGGGCTCGAACTGCTGATGTGCTCAGGGTAGCAGCCCAGTGGTTACCTGGGAGTGCCATCAGGGGGCCACCAAATTGTTTTGAAAGGCTGTAGCTATTGTAGTTATCAGTTTTAAATATTTGCTAATTTGATAGACTAAAAATAAGTAATATGGTTTAAAGTTTCCTTTTCTGGGCTCTTAAGTGAGGCTCACACTTCTCCGTGTATCTAGTCACCATTTGTAGCCTTTTGTGAGCTGGCCTTCTATCGTTTTTAATGGCCCTTTTAATAGTTTTGTGTGTGTGTTTATACTGAATTATAAACCGACCTTCATTTATAAAATTGTGGTAACATATTTTCCAGTTAGACTTTTTCTTTTTAAATTATGTTCTTCGATATAAGCATTTTTAAATGTTTGTAATGATTGATTTTTCACACTTCTTTTCTTTTAAGCCCACACACTCACCAGAAGCATACAAGAATTTTATTTCTCAACATTATCACCAGAACTGAGCATTATCACTTAGAAAAAAATTGGTAGCTAAAAATAGGAGCATTTTTAATTGTTTTAATTTTCATTCTTTAGGAGTAATACTGACATTAAAAATGTTTATTGACCATTTGGTTTTCTTATGTTGTACATTATCTTCTCTGTTCTTTTTGTGTTTTACTAATTTGGATATTTATCTTTTTTATTAATTCAAGGCTCATTATAAGAAAATTGAATCACTGTGTCATATAAATTTTCATTATTTCTCAATTTCCTTTATTATTTTTATTTCATGATGTTTAACCATTTATATTTTTAATATAGCAACATTTAAAAATATTTTCTACTCAAACACAGTAATCTTTTACATTTGAATCTTTTCACCACTTTGCTGCTTCTCATGCCCTTGTAGCAGTGATCTGCTAAAACGTAAAGGATAAATAACCCACATTTCAGCGATTCCACTTTGAGTAATCTGTTTAATATAAATTCCGGGGCTAACGAAGAGTTAATGACTACTGAAAACCAACCCCCCTGGGATGATTCAATTACAATTTACAGAAGTCTGATCGGGCGGAGTAGAACTGCTCTCTAGGGCTTCTAAGACTGTAGATTTTTCTAGGATCATCTTTCTCCCATGGACTGACTGGTAGATTTGAACTGCTGACTTTGGTGTTAGCAGCCAGGCATGTTCTCCATTATGCTACCCTAACCAAACCCATTGCTGCCATGTCAATTCTGGTTTCTAAGGCTGTAAATCTTTATGGGAGCAAATAGCTTCATGTTCCTTCTGGGGAGGAGCTGCTGTGTTCAAACAGCCCACCTTGCAGTTAGCAGTCCAACACGTAACCAACAGTGCTCCCAAGAACCCCTTACTCTGCCACCAACCTCCTTAATGTAGGGGGTGCAGTGTTGAAATTAGACAAATATATGCAAGGCAAATAAGTACATCATTGTGTGGTGGTTGAAGGGGAAGCTATTGAATTATGTTGTTGTTGTTGTTGTTGTTAGGTGCCATCAAGTTGACTCTGACTCATACGGGCCCAATCTGCACCACAGAACAAAACACTGCCTGGCCCTGTGCCTCCCTCACCACAGCTATGTCTGAGCCCCTCACTGCAGCCGCTGTGCCAGTCTAGCTCGTTGGGGCTCTTCCTCTTTTTCACTGATCTTTCGCTTGGCCAAGCGTTCTGTCCCCCTCCAGGCACTGGCCTCTCCTGATTACACGCCAATGAACTCGCTCGAAGTCTCACCATCCTTGCTTCAAAGGAGCATTCTGGCTGTACTGCTTCCAAGACAGATTTGTTGGTTATTCTAGCAGTCCATGAAATTTCTCATATTCTTTGCCAACACCAAAATTCAGGTGCATTGATTCTTCTGTGGCACTCCTTATTCACTGTCCAATTTTCACATGCACATGAGGCAACTGGAAATGCACCTTAGTCTTCAAAGTAATATCCTTGCTCATCAACACTTTAAAGACATCTTGTGAAGCATTTTTGCCAAATGGTCTTTCTATTTCTTATTTTTAACAGTTTTATTGACTTACAATTCATATATCATACAATTCAATAATTTAATCATATTTTTAAAATTTTGCAATTACCACAATACATTTTAGAATGATTGTGTATTTCTTGTAGTCATTTTTCTTAGCCTCTCATTTCTCCCTAACCTTTTCTGCCTCAAGAAACTATCAATCCAGTTATTGTCTCTATAGATTTGCTTATCATGAATTTCACATAAAGAAAAACATACAAAAACAAAAAGAAGAAGAAACTAAGTAAACTGTACATTAACTTAAACTCATAGCAGATTTAAGGAATGAAAACACTTCCTTGGACGTAAGACTGAAGTGCCCTAGTGTGAAAAGAAGCAGATGACTGCTGTCTCAAGGTATTGACTTTGGAGGTCATTGGACTTTGGTTTAGAACTCTTGCTTTGAAGGGTACCCGATATATTTGCTATTTTCATGCCCCTTGCTTTTTGATGACATGCCTTAGTCTAGCAGTTATAGTTCCACCTTTGTGAATGAGTGATATGGAAAGTTTTGCCCTGTCTCCAGCCCTCATTGCTTGCAGTAATAGGTGTCCAGTCATTTCAGGTTCTGATCTGGACAGGTCAACTGTCCGTGTATTTCTGGCCTACGAGGCTGTCCTATACATGTCTACTTCCCTTTTCTAAACAGTGTTTGAAATTCTGTAGCACTGGCTAAATCAATGATCCTATCAATGGAAGTACCATATATCCCATGGGGAGGAGTTGTAATGCTCCTCAGTAAAAGGATAATGAAGTATCTAAAGTGGGCCAGGGGCATATCTAAACTATGGCTACATGGGTGGATTTTGAGCTCTCATTTCATTGTAGCCTTCAGGCATGACCTAGGAAGGATTTTGTTCACCTTGAAAGGACAGAGTCTGAAGTCTTGGTTGTCTATGTATTTTGATTTCTTAACTGCTGCTCCCATGAGCATTGACTATGGATCTAAGCAAAATGGGGTAGTTGACAACTTCAGTCTTTTGTCTGTTCATCATGATGCTGATTATTGGACCAGCTGTAAGAATTCTGGTTCGGTTCGGTTTTTACAATGAGTCCAGTGGGTAACCCACACACCACTAGAATTTCTGAAGCATAGGCAAGGGCCAGATAAATAGAAGGAAAATATATGCAAAACCCTGCGGAAAGAGCATGTAGACTCTTGTCAATCCTCCATAGAGCACTGATTATTTCCTTTAAAAGCACATCAGATTTTGTATCAGTTCTATGGTTCTCTAGCGCCTGACTAGAATTTCTGGCTCAATGAGGTTTCTACACCAATGCTCAGTATGCCTGGAAGCATACTGGTGAAATCCTCATCTGATTGTGACTGGTGTTTGATTCTTCTGAAATGCCTGAAGTTCACCATAGACACACACCCCCGCCAGCCTTCCCCGGCTTGCTTTGCTTTTTTATTCCTTCTTGGCTGGAGAAAGCTAGCAAATCCCTAGTTCCCAATCATTGACTAAGGATTTCTAAATGTCTCACTTTGTCTTTTATCTGGCTTCAAGCTGCAGTAAACTAGATTAGAGGTCATAGTTCTGGTTCCTGGCTATGGCAGACCCAGTGGACCTACTTGGGAGCCAGATGCATATTCTAACAAGTTAGGAGGTGCTGAAATGTAGACTTCTCTAGTGACTACCAATTTATCCTTCTTCCCAAGTGGAGATTAGTCCACCTCTGTTTTCGGAGCACCTCATTCTCTGGATGGTAGCAGCTGTTAGTCTAGATTTCCTGTGTGTGCGCACGTATGCACTAGACAATTTAATGCTGATTGCTTTATTTGTCAAGACATCGGATCACTATATTATAAGAAAAGATGTTGACTGTTGAAAAATGATTAGACTTAATGAAATCAATAGGAACTGTGAATTCAGTCTTCAAAGGATCCCTCTTTAACTCTTGATGAATTACATGTGACTCGGGAGCAGCGGTTGTGTCAAGTTTGCTATGCGATTACTATGCTCAGAGGGATGGGAAGCACGGATGAACTGTCATTTAATAGAAGAAATCAGTTCAGTCAATCCTGCATGCCATTAAAAGATTCTTGATTAAAGAGCGAGAACTTGTACCACACTGCAATTTGTCATTGTATAGTTAATACATTTCAATATTATTTTTTTTGCAATAAATGGACTAGAAGAAACACAGAAGGAAATGTTTAAATTAGCCTTCCTGCTCCCAAATGAATACGTGTTATTTTTGTGTTCTTAGAGGTTAGAGAGAGCCCCAAGTTTAAAGATACATAACACTCTTTGAAATGACTGTTGCAAATCCAAAGTGCATTTCATTTACTGGTGCCGTTAAGAGAGTAGCCTGTTCTTCACATTCCCCACTACGTCAGCTTGCTCTCTCCTGGTGTCCCCTCCACCTCTTCTCTGCCTGTACTTCTCACATCTCCTTCCGTCCTGTGGTGGACAGTTGGTTCTCACCCATGTTCAGTCTTAATTTGGTCAGGGCATTGTCTTCACCACAATGCTGTGCAAAAATCCATTTGAGTTTCACACTACCTGTGCCGAGTCAGAAAATTAAGCTGAATTCACAATAATGGAAGATGTTTCACCGTTGACAGAAAGAACTTCAAAAGCATTAGTTTGAATCCAAGAAATGAGGGAGAAAATGAACCCTTTACTGGAATTGACTTAAGTGACTTTCTAGTTCCTATTTGGTGAATCTGATATGAAACTTGTACCATTCACTGGTTCAAAATGTCTTTCTCCACTTACGGTGAAAGTACATGTCATGGTGGACAGTGAACATCAGCAAATAGTCTGTACAAGGTAAATATTCATCATTAAGTTTACTAAGAAACAGAGACGTAGTTCTTATTTTGTTGCTGTTATTGTTAAATAGGCACATTTGCTTGTTTGAACTTGTTTCCAAAAAGGTTTCCTATAAAATATGTCACCAAGCAATAAAATAAATAATAATCACAGATTTACATTATGCAATGAGTGACAAAATTACTGCAACACGAGCATTCTAGATGTGTCTCAGGGAAGACTTCTCAGTCTCTCTCATACGTATGTCATATACACTAACCCTATAGCTTTTCATGTTTCCTATGGATTCTCCTAACTGGTAACTGTAAATGGTGACATCACTCAATGGTTGACCAAATGGTCACAATAGACAGCAGTCCTAGGTACACCTTCTATGACTACCTAAGACAGGTGGCTTTAACCATCTGTGTTCCAGGGGGCTTGGTTTTCAGTGAGCACTCTGCATGCTGTCCTTGAACAGGAGGTATTAATGTATGATCCAGAGGACTGTAAAAGAGATACTAGTCATCACTGGTCATGTTTCCAATTTAAGGTGAGAGTTCTTTATAAACTGCCAAATCACCAGGTCAGAGAATAAAAGATCCAGTGACATCATTGGATTAGTATTGATTAATATCATTGTGTAATCTGTGAGTGTTAGAGGTAACACTGTACTGAATTTTGAGATTCAGTAGAAGTAAGATATGATCAAGTTTTCATTAAGAGAACTCTGGAAGCAGAATAAAAGTTTTACATATATAAAAAAAGGAATTCGGTTTAGTAACTTTATTGTAACTTAAAAAAATTAACTATTCTATTAAGACAAAAGAGGGAAATTCTCAAGAAAAATAATATTCTATTTCAAAGTACAAAAGGAAATGTGTGTGTGTGTGTGTGTGTGTGTGTGTGTTTTAACTGTGGAAGATGTAGAAAATGCGGTTGATATGACATTAGGCTGTCTGGCTGCTCCCTTTCAGGTGAACACCAATTGCTTAAATTGTTTCTCTTGTTGAATGGCCCAAACTCTGTAATAATGGCACAATGTCACTTCTCTAGAAAGAAGGAGAATAGAAGGAGGTATTTGTGCTTTGCTTTGTATTTTGACTTATTTTTGTTGCTGTGTTCATTTTATCTTTCATTTGGAGTCTGCTTGATTTGTGGCCCTCTCAACTCCTTTACAAAATAAATCTAATATGACCACTTTTCATGCCCCACAGGTATCTATATATTAAAATAAATGACAAAATATAGGCTCCTAACAGACAAACTGACATCCTAACTAGCTACCATAGCAGTTACAATATTCTCTCATAATAAGGTACTACTTAACAAGCTGTGGGGAACTACCCTGCCTATTCATTTTAGAAGAGTAGAAATTAATCAGAAGTCCCTGCTTGTTGTACAAATACTTACAACATGATAAAGAGCAAAATAGGCAATGTCCTTGCTGTGAGTTTTACGGTACCTCATACTGGTTCAGGAACATGTGGAGTTGCTGTACACTGATTCTCAGATCAGTCTCATTGAACTCATAAGGAATATTCCACCCCAGAGGTCCAAATTTCCGCCTCTCTTGCACCAAGGCATGAAAAAAACAGAGGCCGTAGAGTAATTTCTTGAATTCCTCCTGTAATAATTAGAAATGGTGCCAAATGGTGATTTTCCTTATAACATTGTATTATACTTCATATATTCTAAAATGAAAGTAATTAATGCCATCTGTTTATAAATAGTGATAAGGTATTTTACTTCATAGTATGGTTAAATAGAATTTAGTCAATTTCTACTGGCTCTTCAGGTTAAAATAGGCCTATTTGTGCACATAAAGGAGCCCTGCTGGTATAGTGGTTAGACATTGGGCTGCTAACTGCAAGGTCAGCAGTTTGAAACCACCGGTCACTCTGTAAGAGAAAGACGGGGCTTTCTACTCCTGTAGAGAGTAACAGTCTCAGAAACCCATAGGGATAGTTGTCCTATAGGGTCATATGAGGCAGCATCGACTCGGTGGCAGTGAGCGTGGTTTGGGTTTTACTTGTATACATGTTCAGTGGGTATTTAAAGCTATGGTCACCATGGTTTGAAGAAACCGGTATGGCTTTGCAACTTAAAGTGATGACACGATTTTACATTATCTGAGAGTAATCAGAAAAATCATAAGGGAGCCCATTTTTACCCAAGGACAGAAGAAAATGCCTCCTCTAGAGAATAAATTTTCATGATGGAGGAAGAGACAAAGGGGCACCCACAGAGGTGGCAGATAAAAGTCAAACCTTTTGGACTAATTCTGGAGCTATTTTAGATATATTAGAGGACTAAACAAATCAGTTAATGTGTTAATGTTGTTAGAAACCACGTGTTTCACTATGGAAGGAAAGAAAAACACAAAGAAT